TTCACCTGCAGTAAAAAAAGAAAACAACAGACTTTCCATCTATGTGGAGAAATGCCATTTATTTAAATAATCTCTGATCTGGGTCTTCTTGTACAATAACAAACTCTTCAAGAGGGGTTTGCTGATTTGTTGGCCAACAGCTTCTTTCACATGTATAAACTAGAACTGTTCCAAATTCCACTGACAGATCTAAAACCAAAGCAACAAAAGTATATAAATGTATGAAAAATTGCATAATCAGAGGCTATTGCTTATTGCTATACTTCACCAACTCGGACAATATTTTCCATATTCAGTCTCCTATGTACACAGCATTTTCTAATTTCAAAGATTTTAAAGCAAGCTGACTCAGAATTTTCAAAGAGCTTCTTAAGTGTCTGTAATCTTATCTGACAATATTTATTATTTTCCAAGGCCTCATTTAAGAGGCAATAAAGCAAAGTTACTCCCAAGGTCATGGAATTAGCTATATTGCTGTTATTAAAGTTCACTAGTGAGCAAATGAAGTTGCAATCATAGAGTCTCCATAAACCAGAGTTATATCTTTTGCTTAGTGAAATCCATAATGGAAACAGAGTGGATTCTATACAAGATGATCACTGTCATTAAGCACATCAGTGCACGTGGTTAGCAAGAAACAATCCAAATTGCAGTTCACTAAACTTTACCAAGAAGGTGATTGTTTCTACAATTCATTCAGCTAAGTCAAAGGTCAACACCTGAATCAGTCTGGAGCATGCTGACCAGCGCTGGCATGAGTTGAAATTCAAATATTCTGTTGCTTCCACAGTTACTGCAGGCTGGAATATCTTTGTCAGTGTTAGCTGGAGGACACGTTATGAATAAAGGCTGGCCACCCCAAGAGTATCTAAGAGAAGAAAGAAGAAAAGCATTAATTTTTTGTGTCTAAATTTCATGTGAAAACATACATGTTGGCAACAGTGTTCAGGATTCTCTGAAACCTCTGAACTTGCTTGAAGTAAAAAAAAAAAAAAAAAAAAAAAAGCTTCAGATGAGTCCTTAAACAAAGACTAAAAATGGGGAGGGGGAAACACGTGGAAGGTCAACACAAAATTCAGGGAGCGTAATACTGCAAAGGGATAGATCCAGTGAAAAAAAGTTGTCTGAAAATGTTACTTTCACTCTGCATAGTTTTCTGTATAATCTTTGAAAGATTATTAATGAAAGCTTCTAATGTTTCTAGTCTGTGTAACCAGCCCCTCAAACTTTACCTCCTCATCAAAAAGGTATCAGTTAGTTCCACCTGGTTCTGGAAATCTGATAAACAAAGCTCCTGTCACTATGCCAGATAGGCTGCACTCTGGAACAAAGAAGTTAAAAACTAACACTTGGTGTGATCCATGAAAACCACGTGTATTGTCTGGTACTATGAATAATTCATGATTTGAACACTTTGTTTTATTTCATTCAGAATTAACTCCTCTTGAGGGCAAGTAGCTGCTCTGAGGTTGAATGTGCTTTTGTTCTAGGAAAAGCAACAGATTTGCAAGAACTGAAGACTGCAGGGTCCTGAGGAGTAATCACAATAAGCTGCAGAAGAACCTGGGCTTTAAAATGAGTGACTTCTTACTTCAGTAACATCTCAAGGACGGAGACATAAGCAATTACAATAAATTACAAAATTTCAGAGGAGCAGATAGCCTTCGAAATCTATCACAACAGCATACCACTGTGTATTATGCTTCCACCTCAGAACAGTCTTGTGAAAACCTCTATGCCTGGATTTCAACGAGTCTTCAAAGACAGTCTAGGCCTGCTCTCATTAGGTCTTATGTTGAAGAAAGTCTCCCATAGCCATATCTGGGGTCTCTGATCCTGCTTTGCTTCTCATCTACTTAGACTGTGTAAAAAATCCCAACCAGGCACTGATGTCTGACCACTCAGACATAGTAACAGCCCTCTTAGCAATTCTTTTGATTAAGAAACAAAAATATACATCTACTTCCAATGAAATGGTTTATTCTGATGTACTAACAATCCATCTCTATCCTCTGTATCTCCTTGTTACAACTAGATGATCAACATACCTCAAAATCTGTTCACGACACACAGATATTCTTTTCATAAATTTATGGAATGTGTAGTCCCTGCTTTTGACTTCACTCTTCTCATATATTTCACGATCACCTTCACCTGCAAAACTATAAGAAAACAAGAAAAGAAACAAAACTTCTGATAAGGTTTTCAGTACAATATGCATGCTTTAAATAAGCAATGGTTACCTCACATTCATATTAAATTATACTAAGTACACTGAAAAAAAATACACATGTTAAGAGGCAGTTCTTGGTAGAGGGTGCAAGTGAACATTTTGCTTCCAGTTCTTCAGTTTCTGATGGCTTACTATTACTAACAGTGTTTAAAACTACCACATGAGATTCAAATCCACCAAATACCTGCTTATTCCTTTAAAAGTTCCTTTAGTAACTTCTCAGAAGTTTTGCTAATTTTTAAATTGTCTTTCTATATTTTGAATTAAGTGTAATCAAAGTTCTATGATTCTATAAAGGTCAACAAAATTCAACAGGAACACCACTACTAAAAAGCGTTCTATGCAGACTCTGCAACTGACAGTAGCTTTAGTTATCAAAAAATTCAATGTTGTCCACAATTCAGGCAAAGTCACTGTACATGTTAACATAATCAAAAGATAAATGGTCTGGATATAAGTGGTCACTGTGATCACATGAGTTAATAATGAAAATATTCTCAGTAACTACATTCAAAATTTGTTTTTCAGACAACTGTTACAAAATCTTCAGGAGTCTTACCATCATCCGAGTCTCCAGTCAAAATTAAACTCTTAAATGTAAGAAAAGCTTTAGCCTTGTAAAGAAAAAAAAAACCCACAAATGTAACAATATAAACTCACGCCATTTAGGATAAGATGCTGTTTAAACCACCCTGGTTTGGTTTCAGGGATTGACAGTCCACTGCTCTATCTGGAGCCAACAGACATTCCAACTGCTCTGTCACTCAGAAACAGATGCACCTCTGAATAACCCAAAATTTGACAGAACTGGGTGCACTGTCATATTCTTCTGCAAAGTACTACACACCAATGATTCCTGAAGGACCCAGTTACGAACAAAAACCATTTAGATTTAGTGACAGATTCACATTATCAATCAGCATACAGGAAACTACATAATCCCTTTAGTTTCAGCAGAAATCCAGACCTGTTCTCACCTTTCTGACATCAGCTGTTCCAAATCAACACCCTCTCTCTGCTGATACTCCTTCAATAGCTTATCCACATGATTTGTGTCAAGGAAACCAGCATAGTCTTCCTCATCCACCACACTAATGTAAAAGGGCTGGAACACAGGAGCTGAACTAAACGTTGCCATTCCCTCACTGACTGGAGAATGTGTATCCAGGGAACCTGACCCATCCGTAGCTTCAGACAAGCAAAGCCGTTGGAACTGGGATGTATACTCCATCTCTCTGGACAAGGAGCTGCTCACTGCTTCATTTAAGCCAAGCAGCTGAAGGGAGGCACATGCAGGAGATTCTGCTTCATCACAGACGCCCCAGTCATCTGCTTCATCACACCAATCCTTTGCAGCAAAGTTTGGTTCTTGTTTCTAAGAGCAAACAAAAAAAAACCCAACAAAAAAAAAGCAAAAAGGACATTGTCAATATCAGTCACCCTAATGCACTTCGAGTACAGTTTCATAACAGGTAAGAAAATGAAAATGTTAACCTAACACTTAGTGTTATTTCACCTATTCACCACACAGTGGTACTTAACAGCATACCCACGTTCACTTTCCATAGCAGCACAATTATGGCAAAAAACATCTCATGCTTGAGAAACATAACAAAAATTCACTGGTTTTCTGAGCGACCTTTGTACATCACATTGCCAGGCCCTGGCTGCTGGCATGACCACTGACAACTAGTTTGGACACGTCTGAAGCAGTTACTGCACCACAGGTACACTCAAAGGGCAGAATAGGGAGGAAAATAACAATATCATCCATGACAACAATGATGATAATACCATCATTTCATCAGAGTATAAGCTCATTTACCACAGACCAAAATTTGACATTGCAAATGCACCAGCAGAATAAACACTTTCTACCGGTCATCACTAGTTTGATAGCCATCCTCCTCTTTCAATCTTAAAGCAGCATGCAGTTTTACTTCACAACCAAAAAATACTAGAAGTATAACAATAATTGAGACAGATTAATTAAAACTGATGATCTAATTTAAATAATTTTTAAAAAATTCTTAGATAAAGAAAACATCTTAAAGATGCAAACTTAAACAGTATGTAGCCTAGCCATTTAGAGTTGAAAAGTAATGTTTAGGTCCCACTGTATGGTCAAAACTTCTATTTAATATTTGAGTGACCTAAACATTACTTTAAAGTGCAATCTGCACTTTAAAACAAGCCTAACACAGATCAGAAACAAGAAGTTAAGTTAATTTTCTATAAGTGACATGGAGTACTCACAGTGTCAGAAATTCCACGACCATTTCTCCGCATGACCACGTACATGACTCAGAAGTAGCATACAGCACACCTTTTTGAAAATCGTTACGGGACAAGTACATACAAGTGCGAAACTCATCCACCACAACTACATTTTTATATTAAAGTCTCCTCAATGCTGCACTACATGAGGCACACTGAAACACGGGCCAGCCCCCGGGGAGGCAGTTGCTAGTTATACCTGGTTTACGCTGTGATCTTGCGTTTCCTTTCCCTGTGTCTCAAAATACTGGGAGCGCAGCACCTTCCAGCTTCAACACGCCGCACGAGCACATGTAAGGAGCAAATAAAGAGGACGTGTAAGAAACTAACCGCTGAAGTCGAAGGGACACCGATCAGCCGCCGCCGAGCCGCGCCCGTTTCGGGGCACAACCGCCGGGCACGTCCTCACCCTCCGGGCGCTCCCC